ATTTCCAGGAAGCTTCAGGGCTTTCCTTTTCTTTAGTGGAACGCCCGGTCAGCCGCATGCACGTTGCCCTGCCCAGAAGCCAAAGCGGCAGGACAGGTTAGCCGACCACGCGGGACGGGCATTTGGCTCGCCTGCGGGTCCAAAAGGTTCCGCAGCTTTTTTGCGGAGGCACAAAGGAGCGATGAGCAGCGGGACGAATTGGAGAGAGACAAAGCATGGGAGCCACAAAGAAGAACATGATCCGTCGCCGTCTCTGACCCTTGGAAGAGCCTGCCATGCTGCTTCACGGGCTATGTTCCAGCACAAAGCTTTACCAAAACGCAAAGGCGCCAAAGCAGTCTGCAACGAAGCCTCTCCAAAGCCAACAGCTTATCACCAGCACAAGGCTTTGAGCTCTGAGTTCTGCTCTTGGGTTGTCCACCTCAGGGATCTCTTTGCGTTCACTTGGCCAGCCCCAAAGCCATGACGGTGCTGCCGGAGTTCAAGCCTCCTTCGTGGCGGCCCCAGGGATCGAGGGACCCGGCGTTCTGGAGCCAAGCTGGTCATATGGTTGTCCTGCCCCAGAACCGAACCGTGTTCCTGCCCCCAGAAGCAAGATTGGCCAACCTTGCGTGAGTCGTTGTCTTTGGCTTTGGGTAATGTGGCGGCGCCCTCTGAGAGCCATTGGTTCGGGGTGAGGTATGCTCCTCTCTCTTTCCACGCGTTGTTCCACCCTCCAGGGGGGGGTTGCCAAGTTGCTCATGTAAATGTCATGGCCGCAGGACTTAAAGCAACAGTGGAAGCTCTCTTGGCCCATGTCTGTCAAGCAGACGCAGTGTTGGCATCTGCGATCTGCACATGGGGGACGTGTGATACGAATGTCTTTCGAGATTGATAGGCTTCCTCCTGGAGACCCAGTTGCACTACTAGTCGCCCATGCAAACAAACCCAGTTTTCGGGCAGAATGTCGTAGAACGTCCACCAAGTCAAGGAGCCTTCAAACGCGCGCAGGCGGCGCGGCTGGGAAGTAGAGGGCGACCAGGGCGAGTGGGCAGCTGCCTGAAGCGGATACGTGTCGCTTGAAGGGTCAGTTGGTCTTGGGGCACAAGATTCTTTGCATATCTTTTGGTGGACTTCTCGAGAACCGGGTTTTGATTGTACAGATTCACTCACAGGGCCCCGGCGGGCGGGCGCAACGTTCGAGGTCCGGCCACCGTGGTGTTCTTTTGTCTCCTTCCAGGTTTGTGCTGGTTTGTTCTGAACTTACGCACTACCTGTAAAGGGGTTCATGATTTCCAGTTGTGAGAAGTCTGTTTTAACAAGGGCATCTTTCCTTGTTAAGTTTCTTACCTGTCAACCTCTAGAGTTTGTTCTTTGTTCCACCGCTTTCATTCTAGGATTTGTTCTGCACGCCCGGACGACTCATTGTCTGTGCAGTCACAACCATGGTCGTTCAAATCGTCTTTTGGCTGTCCAACGACGAGGTGCCAGTGGATCGCTCCACGGAGGTGGGGAAGGGTTTGGCAAGATCCTGGTGGGCAGAGTGAGAAGTTTTGTTTTGTTTTTGAGTGGAGGCCTTTGAGGTCTTGGGAGTGGTTCAGAAACAGAGATCCCGTTGCGTTGGGTCGATCAGCGCAGCTGTTTTGCAGGCAGGGTCTGACAAGTACATGGAGAACTGTGGCAAGGTTGCAGGGGACCAATTTCAACGCAGGCAGTTTACTTTGCATCTCAGGCCTGCCATATAAGTCTGGTAGCGGACAATTGTCTGTGTTTGCTTTTTAATCAGGGCCTCGGGAGTTTTCTTCGACGGACACCTCATGTCCCCTGCCAACCTGTTACATGTCCTGGGAACGTTGCAGCGCAGACAGCGGACCGAACGTCAAGCTGGCCGCGCTTGCCCAACTGGAGTTCGGCCTTTTCCCTTCCTTTCCCCCAAAGGTTTGGCATCCAGCAGGCATCCTGCAGGCATCCAGCGCGCTGCATACAGCTGCCGCGTGTCAACCCAGCAATGGAGCAAGCACGACACACATCATCGCTTGATTGCCCTGCTCCGAGTCTCAGAGCTGCCCGCGGCCATAGGCTCAAGGAGCCAATGTTTCGATGTCGCTGAGCCAGGCTACCCCACGGGGTTGACGGCAGCTCGGCAGGGATTGAGCTGAGGGAAAGCAGGTTGAGATTTTTGGGCCCTGCCGGAGCTGTAAGCACTCCACCTAGCGCTGGTGGAATTGCTGCGAAGGAGCATGCAGTAGCAAGCTTCATATCTGCAAGTGGGTATGCACCAGGATCCCACCGAATGCCATGATTCATTTAGCGGCAATGAGCCGAGCTCTGCAAGGGGAGGTGCAGACGTACCCGTTCCGAGGCCTGGTGTTAGCCAAAGCCTGGAGGCTGGGTAGATGAAAAGGATCCTGGCTTCAGTCCGGCAAGCCGTGAAATGTGTTGAATTTTAGAGGGTGCCTCCAGTAGATTGTTTCATGGTGTGGCCAATGCGTCCCCAGGAAAGAACTTAGGCACCCAGCGGGTTCGGCTTTGCTGGTCCTGTGCGCTCCTGCTGCGCCCACGCCTTGCTTTGAAGCCATGGGTGATGTGGAAATCGCAAAGCCCAAGCTTCCGCAACCCCCTCATGCCTACTCGGATTGGTAAGCCTGGACTTTGACGATTTGTTGGGAGGGTGTTTCTCCTACCCCCAGCCAGCCCCTTTTATTCATCCCCCCCCCCCAAATTGCATCATTCCCTGTAGATGGAACATGCCTAATGATCGACTTTGTGTCTCCAGGGTGAGCGCGGCGCGAACACCCGCTGGGAACTGGCTGCCAGGTCGCCATGACGGAGACCGACCTGTGGGATCTTCAGCAAGGCGGGTTTCGCCTTGTTTTGGCAGGGGTGGGAAACGCCAAGCATGCCACGCACAACTGGGCTGTTCAAAGGTGAGTGCCAAAAGCTGGCCTCGAGCAACTCTTTGCTTGAGTACGGATGCTTTTTTCACCGCCCCGTGCGGGTTGGACTGTTTGGCTGCTTAATCTTTCCGTTCAAAGATGCTTCTGCTTGGTAACGCGGGGTAGTGATTTTGTAAAGGGCATGGACTTGGTTTAGTCTTGGTTTAGTATTCCTGTGTGCTGGCTCAGTTTTGGTTTAGACTTGGTTTAGTATTGGAGTATCATTCCAAAAAAGAAGGAAACAATATGGTTTGCTTCAGGGTGGGGGATGGAGAAACAAATGTTGCACCCAGCGCTAAGGAATCCTAAGCCAGTTGTAAGCCGCACAAAACCAGCACACACGAATATCAAACCAATTCTACACAGGTCTCACCAAGAGTTTGGCCGCTTGGAGCAGGTTGGATGCAAGCTCAGACATTGCCAGCCCCAAAAGCTGTTTCTTGGCCACCTGCAAGTCATGCCTGATCTTTTTGGCCCCATTTTGTGGTGTATAATTCTGCCCTTATTGTTTCTCGGGTGAGGGAATCGTTTTCCAAAGCCGGGATTAGATTAGGGCTCTGTGTTCGGTGGGCGGAGATGCTTGCTCGCAACACTGAATCGACCTCCCTCAAAGGACGGACAGTTTCCTCAACCATGCTCAAATGGATGTCCACCAGAATCCCAGTGCGCCGGCCATGTTCACACGAAGCTGACTTGTCGCTTGCCAGCGTGAGCTGCCTTTGTTGGGTCGCTTGGGGCGCTGGGCCATTGATGCAACGGGCTCTGCGCCAATGTCCTCTCCAGGCTGATTGCTGCGTAGGTGACACTCACTCTACCTAGGAACCCTCGCGCGTGTAGTCTGCGTGCGGGGCTCCGGCGGAACTGCTTTGAGGGGTTGGGGGCGAATGTGCCCCCATCCCTCAATCCGGTATCTCCCCTCAAGAAGCGTTACTCATCAAGGTTGTTCTAGGCTTCCACCACGTGGCTAATCTCAGCGCCGGCGAACTCGCGAAGGGAATCGACAGTTCCTGCAGGGTCCTTCTTAAGCAACACCCCTTGGGGCCAATTTGAAGGGATCTTGTTTGGGAGGGATGATGTCAGTAACAAACACTTGGTCTCGCGCATTGGCATGGATGGGTTGGCAGGGACGGGCGAAGCCGCCGTTGGCATTGCGCTGGCGCTGCTCGTCTGCGAGCGGGGAGGGAGTTCTCGGCCACAGGCATGGAATGCCAAGGTCCAACATGCAAGTAACTGAGGCCCGGAGCCCATAGGCCTTGGTGATTGATACTGGTTCCACGAAAACCTGAAATGGGTCGCACCCCTCCCCACATGAATCGGAGGGGGAAGCTGGGGTTTGGGGATCGCAGGCTTGGCACGGGCGAACATGTCATCAACTGATTGCAACAGCCCCCCCAAAAAAATATTAACTCCTGCCCGGAACGTTTTCAGACGTGGCTCATTGCTGTATCAGCCTCAACAAAGGGCTGACCAAACGCTGGGTGCCACGGTTCCTTGCGTCGAGGTTGCTGCTAGTCCTCCTTTCAATTGCAGCCTCGACGTGGTTGCAACAACCTGAGATGCATGAGAGCTCCGTGTCTGCAAGAAGGTCGGTCAAAGCTTCAGTGCGGAGCTTCAGTGCGGAGCTTCTGCGCCCAGTGACTTTGGGAATCGTTGTGCTAAAAGCTCTGCCCGTGCTTTCTGACGGGCGCTAGCAGGTGTTCTCGAGCTCGGCCTGTTGAGTTCGGAGCGGGTTGCCTGAACATGTTGCTTCAGGAGGACTGACTTCCCCAGGTCAAAAAGGCCATATCGATTTTCTTGTGGGTTTCAATGAGGTCCGAAAGCGGGGGACATTGAGGATCCCAAAGCCACCCAAGGAGTCTGCTTGCACCCATTACCCCCCCGAGCTGAGAAGCCCCGCGAGCATGAACTCGCACACCTGTTCAGGTTCAGACCCAGCTCGCAAGAGCAGCGCAGTGTCGGACGTGACCCAGGCGCGCTTCGGAGCAGCGATGCCGCGCCGCGGTCAGCCCGGCCAGGGAAAACTGGGAATGACCTGAAAGGGGTGCCTCAAGACTGGGTGACATTCCTTCTGTTTGTGGCTGCCTGGGTAAATATCGACAAAAAGGCTTGCATACCAGCAAAGGCCGGCAGAGCGGGGGGGAGTGCCAAAAATACAAGAAGTATCGTTCCTCTCTTTCTCTCTCCTCTTTTCTCTTCCCAGACCACGAAAGTGACATATGCAAACAAACAAACGGGGAGTTTTCGAGGCTGACCCTCGAAAGTCGCTGAGGGTCCAGCGAGCGAAGTGGAAAGAACACAAGCAACAAACAGAACTGTTTTTTGAAGGTCGACCCGCCGAAAGTCCACCAAGGGTTCATGGTTGCACAGGCTGAAAAAAGTGAAACGCCAGCTTGGTGCCCCACCTCCGTACAGGCGTCGCGACCGGAGTGGTTTGCGCGCATGCGCAAGAGCCGGATTCGTGCACAGGGCCACGTTTTCGGCCCGCTTCTATTCTCCTGTTTTCGCGTTTTTCTACTTCCTGTCCGGGAAGCCCTCACAAATTTAAACACATTTTCTGCAGGTATTTGAAAAGCTGACAAGCAGCCCAAGCTCACACAGCATCCAGGTAAGGTTTGCTGCTGCTGGTCGCTCCCCCGCTCTTCTCACTTCTCAGGGTATGAGAAGGGTGTAAAAGAACACCGCGGAAACCACGAAAAGAGGATGCAAAGCGCTAGACACAACGCGCAACCACGGATCCTAGGGTTTATGCAGGTCCACACAAGCACGGGTCCTTGGGTGACTTGTACATGACAGGGCACATGACAACAGTGCTTGTGTGCCCCCAAACTCTCCTTACCAAGTGGTATCTCGGGTAAGTCATATCTAGAAAGCTTCTCAGCCAGGCCGTGGACCCCGTTGGTGAGATGGTCATCCAAGCAGGGGGAATCCTTCCAACCAACAAATCTGCGACAACTGGGTGCCAGACATCCCATATTCTTTCCGTTTTCTGCTTCAGTATGGAAGACTTGTATTTTTTTTTATTTGCTAGTGCTCAGTAGGGAGTGAGGGAATGAACCCGGGGGTCCCCTTCAAGGAGACCACGAATAGATTCTTATGAGGGTTCATTCCCGCATTCCCTGCCTATCGCACCAGCAAGCTTCAGCACTGATCACATCTTCCACTCGTAGCCCTTCCGACGTTCCCGAACTCACGTTCCCATTCATTTCCAGTCCCACCCCCATTTCCGTTCCCATACCGTTTCTCCCGGCAGGACTACGTGGAGCTGCGGTTGGAGCGCGGCTCTTCTTCCGAGCGCTTGGGCCTGGTGTGGCACGTGCAGGCCTATGCGGCGCAGCAGGGGCCTTGGGAGCTGGAGGGGGCTTGGGGCTTGGGGTCTCGGCTCCACCCCAAAACGGGTTGATCGGACAGCATTTTTTTCCAGGATGCATTTGGGGAAGTGGCAAGAAGGGGGGGGATGGCGGTTTTCCTTTTGGTTTCACTTTAAACCAGCCTGAACAGGGTGCCCCAGAAAAGTCACGGCTGATGGCAAGCTCCGACAGCTTCCCCTGCGAAGCTTCACCATGAGGAGCTTGTGGTTTCCATGAACGGTCAAATTCAATTGCGGAGCGCGCTCTTGTTTCTTGAGCATATGCATTTGGATGTGCCCTTCTTAGGGTTGCTTCGAAGGGGAGCCAAAGGGAACCTCCCCCCCTTTTTTTGATCCCCTCTACTTTTTTCCTTTTCAGCGGGAAGCCGAAGGGACGCCGCCTACATCCGGATGCCTCGTGTCGGACGCGGGGCGGGGCTTCTGAGGCGCTTCCTCCTCGCGGGGCTGGAGCCTACCTCGCTGGCCGGGCGAGCCCGCAAGCCCCGGGCACAAGGCAGGCCCCCGGCCCCTTGGTGGGCTTTTGATGCAGAGCCACCCCAAAAAGGGGATCCTCCAAAAAAGGTCGCTGACCGATCTGCATGTTGCTTGGGTTGTTCAAGCTCGCTGCTCAATCTTAGCAGCGCTTCCCCTGGTTGTAGTGGTGTGCTGCCACACGCCATTTTGAACAAGCCTGTTTTGGGGGCTGGAGACATCTAAGAGACCCGCAAGAAGGATGGGCCACTCTGGTCATGCCTTGTGCAGCTGCAAGGCAGCACGAAAGATGGGTCCAAAGTGATCCGGGAAGCCATCGCCGTGTCAAGGGTGTTGCTTGCAGGCCGGGGCCTCCGGCGAGGGGACGAGCTTGTGAGCGTGAACGGCAAGTGCCAGTTCCACCTGATGTGCAAGGATCGGGTTCCGGCAGTACAAAGCTTGTTTTGAGGTTGGGGAGATGAAGGTGATGCGGCGAGGCAAGGCATGCCATAAAAACTGCGTTCTGCATTGTTTCGCATGCCAAAACCACGTGCTGTGAAGCATGAACTGCCAGGAGCTGGCCAGCACCAACAAGCTTTCTCTCCAGTTCCTCAGGGCTGAGGTAGTGCTGCCCCTGAGCGATGACGACTGCCCGGTGGGGGAGGAACAAGCCTCCGATGACACCGACGTCGTGGACGAGTGTGCCGCGGACCCGCAGCAGCCGGAGCCGCAGCTGCCAGGGCCACAGCTGCCAGAGCCGCAATGCCCGAAGCAGTGGCCCGAGCCACATCCACAGCTGCCACAGCAGCAGCTGCCGCAGCCGCTGCTGGCGCTGCAGGCGCAGCATGTAGAGGAGCCGGAGCGTCTAGAAGTGCAAGCGGAAGCGCCCGCTTCCGCCCGGGAGAGCCGGGGCCGGGACGCCGCCGTGAAGCGCGCGGACGCACCGTGCGAGAAGCGGAGGGCGCCACATCGGCAGTCCTCCCGGCCCTACTCCAGCGGCGGCTCAGGCTCTGGCTCGGGCTCTGAGCAGGTGTCCGGCGCCTCCAAGTGCCCTTCCTGCCCGTCCACGGATTGGGAGTACATGATGGACAACCGCCCCGGCAGCTTGATGAATACCGAGCTCCCGAGCCGGCACGTCCTGCCCCCGGCCAGCTGCGGCAGCAACGTGGTGATCGTGGCCGGCTCGCAGGCGATTGCGCTGCAGACAGCGAGTGCACTCGGCACCGTCTTGGGTGGAGGGGTCTTCCACCCCATGCAGAACGTCAGGCAGCCGCTGCCTCAGCTGCCTGTGCTGCCGACTGTCGATGCCTATGGGGCACTGGGCTGCCCCGTGCTTTACGATGCCCGGGTTGACCGCTTTGAGCCGGAAGCGGACGTGTGCCGGATGAGCTCAAAGGAGTCCAAGGTGTCCAAGGCGTCCAAGGAGTCGGGCAGCTCCGGAGCAGATGTTTCAACCCAGGCGCCGCGGCTTGAGATTGGTGGGTCCGCTTGGTAGGAGGCCGGAAAGGAAGCCTGAACGGCTTGGTTCTGCGTCAAAGGCAGGCATCTCTGCGCACCGGCGCCATCCACAAAGACATGGAAGCCCAGAAGGGCGTTAAGCTGTATTTTCATTCGACATCCATTGTAAGAGAAGCACTTTGTAGGCTGCTTACTTGCAGTACTGCAGGAATAACGGAAGTAGTGCAAGCGTCAAGCCACGCCCGAGTCGGCTGATATATAACAGGAACGAGTTCTGAGAGGCACTTGTTTGGTCGCTTCGCAAGAGAAAGATCCTGGTTCAAATCAGTGTTTTTTTTGGGGGGGAAGCGACAAAGAAGGGCTGCCGAAGAAGAGTGCGGTCAGCATGTATAAAAGTAGGTGTGCAAGATTTCTCAATTTCATGATCTGCCTGAATAAGAGAGAGCCAGCAACTATTGCTTGAGTCCACGAGGAAGAACACTCCAGAACGCTTCCGCTTCGTTTGGCCTTTCTTTGATCACCGTTCCCTCACAGAAAATGGTGGGGGGCAGCCCCGGAACTGATTCTCCTCCAGTTTGCCTTGGGCCAACCCAAACCTCGAATGAAACCCACGCAACTCTCCCCGAGGTGTCCGGGGCTCGCTCGGGCAGCGCCCCTCCCGGGGGCTGCATCGAGCCCTCCCCGGTCCCGCGGAAGCGGACCTACCGCTCGGGCCGGCGGGTCAGGGAGAAGCGCACGCGAGCGGCCATCCGGAACATGCAGGAGGGCGAAGCTGCCACGGCATCCTACGAAACGGGGATGTTTAACCCAGAAAGTGACGGATTTTTTGTTTTTTTATGAAGGAAAGTCGGACTTGACTCTTCCGGGGTTCTCACAAGAAAAGCATTTTCGGGGCTGGCCCGCAGACCCAAGCGCAGGGTTGGGCAGTTCCGTCACAGGACGCGTTGTGACAACAGCAGGTAGGCCTGCTTCCCGCAAAAGAACCCAAAAACCAACGTGGGATTGTCTTGCATTCATGTAGCACTGACTCTTTGTAACCTTTGAGCTTTCCAGCTTTGGTTGATATCATATACGGCGCAAGATGTTTAGAGGTTCACCTTGCATGTCCCAGTAAAAGCGCCACAAGCAACTCGCAGGCGAAGGATCAGAGTCTCCCCAAAGGGCACCCGTTTTTTTGTCAGCCCATTTAGTGGGACATGGCGTGTTTTTGGTGGTTTTCCCCAATGGTCATTGTAAAGCCTCAGTCGAAGCCGTGTCGCCTCTCAGGAGGCCCTCCCTTTCCCGGCGGCCGAGCAAAAGGAGCGGGAGGCCAAGGAGACCGGCGCCGCCGTGCGCTCCGGCAGCGCCCCCGCGGCGTGCCACGGCGAGGAGGTCCTAGAGGGCCGACGCTTGGTGCAAGTGGGCCGCTGATTGTTTGTTTGTTTGTTTGTTTGTTTGTTTGTTTGTTTGGCGGGTGGGTTGGTTGCTTGTTTGCTTGTTTGTTTGGTTGGTTGGTTGCTTGTTTGTTATTTGACTGGTTGTTAGTTTGTTTGTTTGCCTTTTTGTTTCTTTGTTTGTTTTGTTTTGTTTGTTTTGTTTTGTTTGTTTTGTTTGTTTGTTGGTTGGTTTGTTTGTTTGTTTGTTTGCTTGATTGATTGATTGATTGATTGATTGATTGTTTGGCGGGGGCGGGGGGTGGTTGCGTGTTTGCTTGTTTGTTTGGTTGGTTGGTTTGGTTGCTTGTTTGTTTGTTTGCTTGCTTGTTTGTTTGTTTGTTTGTTTGTTTGCTTGGTAGGTTGTTCGGTTGCTTGCTTGCTTGCTTGCTTTTTTCTGTTTGCCTTTTTGTTTGTTTGGTTGGTTGTTTGTTTGTTTGTTTGCTTGCTTGTTTATTTTTGGTTTCTTTGGAAGTGGGATGTTGAAGGGAGGACAGAAACTTTGACATTGTTTCCGGTACGTTGAAAATAAGTTTTGCACATCTTCCCAGGCAAGGCGTGCGGCCGCCTGGTTTGTTAGCCGGCTCTCTAAGATGAGGCCTTCGGCTCAAGCACTCGAGTATACTTGTTTCAATCTGAGTTGGACCCTCTTAGGGTAGCGTTGGAGAGGCAGCCTCAGTTTAAACTGAGGCCACCTAGAGGAGTGCCCAAATTTGCCTCTCACCGCGCAACTCCTAACTGAGTTAGTTTGAGCATGGGTATTATTAAAAGCCATGTTCCCTTTTTGTCTTCCCCTTCCAAGCTCCAAAGCGGGCCCACGCTTTTACTCGCGCCTCGCGATGTTTCCATGCGCGAGGCTTGTTCTACAAGCCCCGGCGGCGCGCGGGCAAGAAGGTGCGGCAGCGCGGCTCGGCGCGGTGGCTTCCGTCGGCCCCCGGCGTTCCGAACGCCGGGGCCGGGGGAGGGCGCCCGAAAGTGTCGGCGGGGGGTCTCTTTTGGGTCCCCGCTGCCTTGGTGGGCGTGAAAAGGGACGACAAAGACGCATAGATGTGGGACTGTGCAAGAGCTCGGGGACGCATCGACTCTTTCAAGTTGCTTCCAAATGACCTTAAATGACCAGGAGCTGTTGCAAAGGCCGATGTCCATCATAGTTCCTTCTAAAACTCGGCCCGAAAGGTTTTTCAGTATCACCAGCTGGCAAGCCTGCGGAGGTCCTGTTTTTAATCGGTCAAAACAGTGCACCTGAACAACCAAAACAAGCGGGAGCCCCGAAGAACTGTTTAAACCTATTTTCCTCCTGGTTTCCCGAAATCGCCTCGAAACTTGATTTGAGGCGTGCATCGGGGGATAACCCGTGAGAGACTCCCGTTTGGCACATGCATGACCCGCGATACCCAGATGGTCTGATGCTTTCGGTCCCGAGCCCGTGAGACCCCGAAGCTTCCCGACGCTCCTTCCGCGTCTTTCTTTCCGTCAGACATTCGACAGGAGCAAAACCGCAGAGAAGGTCCCAACCTCCCCCGAACGAAAACCCACCGCTTCCACCCTGCTCCCTTTCCCCCCCCCCCCCGCAGGCCTCGCGCCCGCCAAGCGCGCCTCGCCCGAGGCATGGAGCACGCCATCCTCCGGCGCAAGGAGCAGGCGCTCATGGCGGAGGCGGCGGAGAGCTGCAGGCGCCGGCATCGATCTGTTGGTCCGATGTCGGTCGCGGATGAGTCGTCCGATTTTTCGGAACGCCGCGGCGTTCGGTAGGCCATGGACAGAGGGACTTAACCATGGAGCGATGGATTGTTGGTGTGCACGAAAAAAAGCTTCGGACGCTGGACACTGTGAACGAATGCTTGGGCTGTTTCCGCTCAATCAGGCATGGTGTCTAGTCCGGATTGAGTCTGTGGCCCATATATATCGGCCTGTGGAGCATTCTGCAGCAGAGTGCTTTCCACTTGGACGACTGCAGCATGTTGCCCCTTCACAGGTTGAACAAGGGCCTAAAAGTATTCCTCACATTGCAGGCGTTGGCATTTTTCATACAGCTTCTCCTCCAAAGGATCTTTGTCGGGTCTCCTCTCTCGAGGATGGTCTCCGATGACGAGCCCGAGAAGCCTCCCAGGGCCAAGGCGCCTTCGAGCCGCCTGGGTGCTTTGGGGCCAGGGCTCAGGGTCATCAACTTGGCGATGGGAGTTGTTAGCCGGCCACCTGTTCCGTTTTCGCGTGAACTTCCGGATTTCTGAAGTCTTGGTGAAACCAAGCTTTGCGGCAGCTCTTGGTCGCTCTTGATGTGCTTACCCAAGTGCCTCGCAGGTTCTCGTGCTCATTCAAAAGAAAGTCAGGCGTTCGTTGCCAGCATTTGCATGTGCCTCCACGTATCAACATAGATTGGGCCGTGTACTTAAGCTCCTTTCTCCCTCACCCCTTCCTAGCTGGTGGTGGTTGGAAGGGGGCCAGGGAGCGAAACCAGTCCTTTCCCTGAGCCTTCCTACCTCGCCCAGCGCCTCACGTTTTCTTCGCGCTCGCGTTGTGCCGTCCAGGCGAAGCCGAAGCGCGGGGACTCGCCCACCTCGGTGTCGACCGCCACCACCCGCACCACGGCGGCGGCGACCACCGCGGGCGCGAGCTCTGCGGCGGCGACTGCGGCGCCGGAAGGCGCTTCGGCCTGGGGAAGCGGTGAGGGCGCTTGGGCTGCTCATGCCCACCCCTCAAATTGGTCGCCCTGGTCGGCTGCCTTCGAATTTCCCTGTGGCAGTATGTAAGAAAGGCAGCCAGCAGGAGCCCCAAATGAGTTCAGAACACGGTTGGTGGGACACGGTTTCCTCATGAAGTCCGCTTTGGTCACTGTTCAAGCATCCTTCTTCAGGTTCCGCCCTACTAGAGGCGGCCAGCCGCCAGTTGTCGACTTGTTTTGTGTGCAATTTCGCCCAAACCTGGGTCAATAATTTTTGTTTATGGCAAGGGGGCCACACAGTGCCAGCTCTTGAGCATTGTTTCCAACGGTAGGTGATGCGCAACACTTCTGCCGTGCCGTCATTTTGGGCTCCCTCCAAAAGACGCACCGTGCCAAGCTTAGCAACTCTTGCCTCTTTGCTGCCCTGCTGGGCAGAAACCTCGCCACTTTTTGGCTGTGCCCGTCCTGCGATTTTGGCTTTCCCGAGGCTCGTTTTGTTTTCCTTGGGCTCAGGCGTGCGCCGCTCCTTCTACACTCGGAAGCCGCCCCTGCGGCTCCCAACCATGGCGGAAACGGAGAAGGCGCGAGAAACTGGATGAAACCTATGAAACCCTCACCTTGCGTTGGTTCTCCTGCCTTGCTTTTTGGACCCCTGGTCGCCAGCTTTGGTTTTCGGGGTGCTGGGGTCTTGGAAGGCGAGTCCTGGCTGAGGCACCTGCGCCAGCCCGCGTGAGGAGAGCGTCCAGGGGTCGGTCTGTGACGCGCGAAGGTGACGGAGGCGTGCCGTGTCCAGTGGCTTTACACGGGGCAGTTTTGGGCCCTTTTTCGGCCCTGGGCCTTGGCATTCTGCAAACTTTGCTGGCGGGTTCAAGCATTTGGCCTGCCTTGTGCTGGGCTTGGTGCAGGTTTCGCAGCAGAATTGTGGGAGAGTTTGAATGGGCGAGGCACGCCAAGCGGTAGGCGGTTTGTCAACGGCCTACTACGTGGACACGCCCACATGCACACGCACACACACACACAGACAGATAGATCTCTCGCTCTCTCTCTCTCTCTCTCTCTCTCTCTCTCTCTCTCTCTCTCTCTCTCTCTCTCTCTCTCTCTCTCTCTCTCTCTCTCGCTCTCGCTCTCTGTGTATATGATTAACATATATATATATATATTTATAATTATATATATGTACTATATGTATATCTCTATATATATACATGTATATATATATATATGCATATACATACATATATATATATATATATCTACACATATTAACATATAGATGCACGCATGTTTGCATATGCGCGTATGGCCTTTGTGTAACTCGGTAGGCAGACAGGGCTTGCTTTGACATTTCTCGGTTTCAGTCTTGGCTGCGAAATGCATCTCCATATTGAGCACACCTGGTTCAGTTTTCACCTGAGAACTACCCGCCTGAAATACCTGGCTATTTAAAAGGCACCTCATGAGCAAGACTTGGAACTTGTTGCTAAAGGTGCCCCTGTTTCGACCCTGAACTTTTTTGAGGATTTGCACCCCCCCCTCCCCCCCAACAAAAAGCAAAAACAAGAAGCAAACAAAACGCACACACAAAAAACAAATCACAATGCTGGGGGTAAAAGGGTTAACCACTCTTTATGCCGCTGCATATAGGATACATACCCAAAAGGTTGCCCAAGATGTGACAGGAGAGACAGAGCAGATCATCGGCCGGCGAGTTCTTCTCACCGGCTTAGTGCATGCGCCGCAGCTGGGCTGCGTTGAGTTGCCAAAGGTGGCTCGCCGTGGGGTCAACTCCCCTGTCCGGCCAGGCTAAACATCACTGCAGTCTTCGTTTCAACTAGTGGCCCTGACGCTAGGGAAATCATTGCCATACCGACCCAAAGATTTGAACAGTTGTGTCTGTAAAGTTGGGTGGCACCCTGCAGTGGGTGCGGGGAAGCCGGCCAAAGGTTGGCCGGACTTGCTTCTAGCATGGCTAGATTCTTAGATGAAGTCACCAGAAAGGTCCAGTCACCATTGCTCCCTCCAACTGAGCCGTTTCCTGTTCCTGTCCCCCAGCAATCAGCCGCTCGATCCTCCAGGGTGAACATTTTTCTTAGGCGCTGCTTTGGCATCGGACCTTTGCCCCGAAGCATGTGATTTCAGTTCTGTGTTTCGACGTTGGTCCGAAGAACCCTTGCATCACGTGTTGGTTTTCTGTGCAGTTCTCGGGCTTGCTCGTCAATGTCTGGGCAAGTGGAAGTGGAAGGTTGCGGGCCCCGAAGCTTTTCTTCTTCCCCAGCTGAAAGCTTTGGGGCCTCAGCCCAGATAGGCTCCGCGTCCGGGGCGGCTCGGAGGTAAGGTTCCACGAGGGTTCCACCAGGGTTCGACCAGGGTTCCACCAGGGTTCCACGAGGGTTCCACGAGATTCTGCGAGGGCTGCGGGGTGGTGCGAGCACTAAAAAGAGCACCGCAGGCTGTTGGGGATATCACTTGAGCTTATTGTGCATCAGGTGTGGAAGGGCAGGTTTGCACTATGTAATCATGACTTTAGATTGCCTTTGACTATTTTTTAAGTGCCTTGGCCAAAATAGCATTCTTCTTCCCTCAGCAGCAAGAAAGGGTGCCGCCAGTCCAAACTGCTGCACGAGTCGGTGGCGTATCCCAGTATTTGAGGGTTTCATCCACCCGGTGCCTCGCACGGACTGTGTCCATCAGTATCAAAGCGGCGCCCGAAGAGCGCCATTTCAGGCAGTTCAACGGCCACTGGGGCCACGTGGACGCCTACGATGCCGCGTCCGCGCGCTACCTCCTGCGGGTCTTTGTGCCCGGGGCGAAGCCGAAGATCGCCACCCGGTGAAGTGAGCGGGCAGCCCTTGTGGTGGTTTCCTTTTGGAGGGACGGGGTAATGTTGCATGCGGAAGAATAGGGAGGCCATGGAAAGGCCAGGAGACGCGCTCTCAGCTTTTTTTCTCCTTCAATTTTCGCATCCGGGGCCTGCAGACATGGCCGGTTCTAAGAACCTCATGCTGCTTTTTCTTTGTACATTCCAAGTACTTAATCTCAACCCGATCGCTCTGCGATCAAGATTGTGGTGTGAAGTGGGTGCTTTCTGTTCTTTGGGTGGGCGTTCGAGTTCCCTCGTGACCTCTCCGCCCGTCTTTCAACTGAGGCGAAGTTGCGGCGGGAGTGCTTCGTGGTGCCCAAAGACCTGCCGGAGGAGGTGCGATTCGAGACCGCATCGATGCCCCAGTTGGGGCTCGCAGGGTATGAACCGGCCAACCACCAAAAAATGTTCAACCACCACTATTTTGATTTAAAGAGAGTGTTTGTGGAGGGGTGGGTCCCGGACATGCCCTTTGCCCATAAAAAAAGAAGCCTCCATGGTTGGCCCCGGAGATGGAGGGGGGGGGGGAACCTTTGGAGTATCATCTGCAAAGCTGCGGCCGAAATGGTGGAGCAAAAAGAGGACTGCTGCGAGGTAGCATGTTGGTGCTTTCTGGCGAGTTTGGAACCAAGGCCATGATTTGTTCCAAGAGCGTATGAAGGGAGCTGGTCCAAACATACTTTGGCCCCTCACATCTCGTGAGGTCTTTTCCAGTCGCAGTCTCATGAGCTGCTTTTTTTCTTTGCAGCTCTGTGCTGACACCGCAGGGTTTTGAACCAACATGGGCCGGTTCGCTTCGGAGGTGCGTCAAGCGCCCTGGCAGCCCTCCCTGCGGTTGGGGGCTCAGAGGCTCACTTGTGAAAGCTTGGTATGAGGCCCCCAAAAAGAGACGGCCAAGGGCCCGAGGGCTGCGGGCCTGGGCAAAAAATGCCACCAGGGAACGCCAAGCTCGGAATTTAGCCGGCGCTCGGCATGGTTGTGCAGCGTGGGTTTGGGGCGGGCCACTTCCGGCGCGCGACTAGAAGTGACAAAGCTGGGAGTCGGTGGGAAGCCCTGGGCCGCCCTTACTTTTGAAGCACGCTTGCACCAAGAGAGCAACGGATGCTTGGGCGGGGTGTGACTTTCCAAGTGTTTTCTAGATTTTTGACCTTGGTGAACGCAGATGGCGGGCATTTTCCATTCAGGCAGGTCGGATGGGCCCCACCACCGGAGAAACCGTTTGAAGGTCCCTGCTAGACAGTGCCTCTCATGTTCAAATGGGCCTCTCGGCGGGTCCATTGTGCACGGGATGCACGGGTGTTGGGATTTGGTGTGTGCTTGTGGCACCCCATTTGCGCACTGCATTCCAAATCAACTAAACACGTGTAAGTTGGCAGGGCGACAAGAGATCTCAGCTGTTTGCTTTTCTCCGTCCTTGCAAGCTTCCAATGCGCCTGTGTGCGAGAGAGAGAGAGCGAGAGAGAGAGAGAGAAAAACAGAGAGGGAGATGGGCAAAGAATGTGAGAATTGTTTGCACGGACGGGAGCCGAGGTCAAAGTGATCTTGCCTGAGGGCATCTTTCAGACATTTGGCGATTTTTTGGGGTCCGCCCCCGGCCGGTAACCTGCAGAGGACCTAGTTTTATAGTCCAGAGTCGGTTCTCTGGGGCTTTGTGCCTGCATCTCTGCGTGGCTGGCCGGGCGTGGGCCCCGCAAATGTTCGAGCCTTGCTGGAGCTGTAAGAGGTCTACATTTTGAAAGGGGACACCCAACAAGGGCACTATGATGGTCTTTGGCCCACACAGCAAGGCTCCCGTATCACTGGCCGCCGTACACTCGGATTGGCCTCGGCAGGAATCTGGGTACGACGAGAGCACCACTTCTCAGCAATTCGAGTACCACATCCGTTTTGGGATGGGCGTCATTGCCCACGGCTTGTTTTGCGCGCTGTACCCACCTTGCTGTTCAGTCACACCCAACACGGCGTCGATCTTTCAGTTCAGCAGGCTGTTTGCCCAAAGCGGGGGCGCTTGCTGGCTTTGGCTCCAAAAGCCCTGGGCGAGCAGGCGAGGCGAGGCGAGGGCGGGGTCGGTCAAGAACACTTGGCGCTTGGAAAAAGCGGGCCAGGCCGAAAGGCTGAGGGGCCGAGGGGGGTGGCGGGGGGTTTTCAGCTTTTGGATCCCGGCTGCTTCTGCCCGCCCAGCGAGGCCCGATGTCACGCAAGGCAGAGGCTTCTGCACACGTACGGTCACAGAGGGTGGAAACATCCGAAGGACGCAGAGCAAGAGAGGTGCCTCAAGCCTTGTTCAATTTGGACTGGTACAAACTGACACGCGCGAAAAATCGAGGATCGGCGCAGCAGCGTGGGTGGGGGGTGGGATGTGACCCAAGGCTCCGGCCAAATGTTCAAGGCTTCCGACATGGTCAGGGGGGGAGGCTCACATCTAGCCTGTTTGTTGCTTGTGCTGTTCTTGTTTCTGAGCTTGTAGAGAGTTAGAAGGCATGCCGCAGAGGTGCGGTCCGATTCTGCATCCAGGACATTTGCGCTTAGACGCAGTCCCCTAGACATGCGCTTCCCCCCCCAGTTTGAGGCAGGTGCTGCTTGAAAGTGCCAGGCTTGGAAGGTGCCCCAGAAAACTCTGAGTCCGCCTGCTCGTTTGCTCGCCGCCGTCTGTGCCTGCCAGCGCTTCTCCGGCAGACGCAATGCCGATAACGGCCTGAACGCTGCACGGAGTTGAAGGTGATCAGTGGCAGCCATGCGACTTGGGGCAAAAAGTCCAAAAACAGTTTGTCTTTCCGCATTTGAACCTTTAAAAACAGGACCCGTGTGGGCGGTGTTTGGATGCGTTTCCTGAGAAGGCGGCTTGTGCAGCAAGCTGATTTCCTTGTTACAGACAAGTTCTTGAAGCACTTGTCATCCTCGACGTTTAGGGGCCTTTTTGAGTTGCATGGGTTCGTGGATGCACTTTGCACCCGTTTCAAAATGATCCGAAAACTTGCACAAATAACTCCGGACTGGGCACATGAGGCATATGGTGGGCCTCAGAATTAAAAACTATGATTGGACATGCTGGTGGTGTCTTGTGAGCTACTTGCCAAAAGTCCGGCAGAGGTCGAGGCTCAGCGTTTGATGCTAAGGTCGGGGCTCGTGCACACAATCATGAAGGCAGGGGGGTGGCAGGGAGGCGAGCTATAATCAAAACCCTGATTAGCCAAGGTGAATGTGTGTGGCCGCATGGTTGTTGGTAGGCTCCTTGAATACCAGGTTTGTACTAGTGACATCCAGGCGTTGCCTAACCCAACTCTTCCCCTCAGGCTATGCGGGTATGAATCGGAGTTGTTCTCATTTTGCAGACCAAGATCAAAGATACATGATTGGATTTGTGCAATCCTCCAACTTTTTGCGGCTATTCCTTTATCGATTCGTGTTCAGCTCGGTTTTGCACGTATACAATCTTATCAGCTGAGCCTTGAAGTGCAACAAGTTGATTTGGTTGCCGCTGGGGCCGCCAAGATGCCCCATCCAAGATCATCCGGAGCCTCAAGCTGTCGGATGTTTCCCTGGACCCTCATTTGTGCCGGGCAAGCCGGCCCCCCGTCCCCCCCCGTCCCCCCCCACACCCCCCACCAGGCGCAGCACAGCGCCAAGCCGAAGGTCTTGGAGTCGGACCTCGGCAGGCTCGGGAGTGTGCTCCGGGCGGTCCGCGTGCCATTTTTTTTTTGGGTGGGGTGTAAAATGCAAGCCAACTGGGCACTCACAAGCAGAGCCACCTAGGGCGCTAAGAGCATGCTGGCAACATGCCCCAGTGAGAACTCACGGAGTGTTGGGACGGGTACTTCTTGTCTCTCAGTCGTTTGGGCGAACATATTTTTCGACCTCCAGAAAGCATATTGAGAAGTGGGAGGCGGAGGCACTTTTTTCTTTTTGATCTTGCGATCGCAGTTCGGGCCGGAAGTACAGAGTGCTGGCAAGTCAATCTCCGGCTCTTAGCACGTTTCAATCGGGCAATCACGATGTTTGTTTTGTTGCTGGGAGAGGCTTGGTACCTTTGCCTTGCTTCGCATGCTGGATCCAATGCACGTCGCGCTCTTACGCAAGCGGCGTGGGTGTGGGTGTGGGTGTGGGTGTGGGTGTGGATGTGTGTGTGTGTGTGTGGGTGTGTTTGCGTGCGCTGCGCTTCCATTTGCCCAGCTCCCCGTTGGGTGAACGCGGTCTGTCACCTTTTGGCCGAGCGACTTGGGGCTTGCGACTCGTAAGCTTCGAGGCCCATTGTGCACGGATCACAGGGCGCGTTGACTCGCCAGGAAGCAGTTCGGCTTTGGACGAGAGGACCTCGGTGACTTGCAAACTCCGGGAGCGGCTCTTGTGTTTGGCTGGGGGTAGGGGGGGGCCTCCATTTTTTCACCGAAGCAGCGTGCAGGGCGAGCGGCCGGGGCGAGGGGCCTGCGCGAGTCTTCTGGTTGAGCTCTATTTTTGCTCCCTTTTCGGGGGCCTTTTGGAGGGAATGCCGAGTTGCCTTTGGAGAATCTCCGTGCCCATTGGGGCGAAGCCGCCGTGGGCATTGGCGATGTGCTGAGCTAGGCCCGGCACATGGGTGTATGCATGAGTTTCCAACCAGGTCGTTCTTTGCCTAAGGCAATCCTTAGGTTTGACGCACCCATTGAGTTCGGCTGGGAGTGAGCGCAGGACCTAGACGGTGGTGCCAGCTACTACGAGGGAGAGTTCAAGCTTTTTCTGCGCAGCGGGCATGGCACCCTGGAGAACACAGAGCCGCTCGGAAGAAGAGGCGGAAGGCGGAAGGTGCATTTTTATTTTATTTGTTTTTTAGCTTTGGGGCTATCTCTTTAGAACCATATATCCCCTTGTTTCCCCTTGGTTTCCCTTTGTTTCTCCTTTGGCACTTGCAAGAAGACAGACACAAAGACAGATAGAAAGACAGGCAGAGGCAGAGGCAGAGGCAGAGGCACAGGCAGAGGCAGAGACAGAGACAGAGACACAGACAGAGACAGAGACGGACAGGTACCCAAATGGCTTTGTCTCCAAATCGAGGGGTGCCCAAAATGGTTAGTTCCAGTTTCCCTCAAAGCAGACCCAGAAAGGGGACCTGAAGAATGCACACCCAAATCTACCATTCAGATTTCCAACTTTTCTAGCAATGCCCTTTAGACACATCATCAAAACCTGGCCCAAGTGAAGGTTAAGGCACAGTCCCCGCCCAAGTGAAGGATTTCGCAGAGATCTGTCCGACCCAAGCTGCGTTCGTTGAATGCAGGACGGGGGACAAGTACGTGGGCCAGTTCCTGGCGGATCGGTGTCACGGCAGCGGCAAGCACACCTGGCCTGCGCCCTGGCCGGGTTCCATGCGTTCGGGTGGATGCCTGGGCCCAATTTTTGGTTTTTTCCTCTTGGTAAAAAAATCCCGTAAAAAGGCCGAGTTGAGTCCAGTTTCCTTTTGCTGGGGATTGCAACGGGGGACATGTGATATATATATATATATCAAATATTCATCTAATCTAAAGAATTTCACATGGGCCACTGTTATGGGCCATTATTTTTGTGGTTTGCTGGCGAGAGAGACTATAGTTCCAACGAACGCAAATCTGCAAGTTTGATTCAGCAAAAGGGCAACCAAGGACCCAAACATCTGAGTTCCCAAAATAGGGGCCCATTCAGGAAACTGTCTGTGCCAGTGGGTTTCCTGAATGGGCCCCTATTTTTGGGACCGGGGTTTGGGGGCTTGGCACGAAGAGTCCCAATGGAGTTGGAACCTTTCAAGATTGCTGTCGTCAAAGATTGCTACTCCAGAGGCAGCAGTTGAGAAACGCACACATCCAGCCACCTGGTCCTTGTGCTACGTACCCAATACATAAGGGGTATATATAGTGTATGTATTTTTCAGCCATTAGCGGCCCATAACAAGGGCCCAAGTAAAAAACTTTAGATCTAATCATCTTTTTAAATAATTTTTTAGTCCCGGTTGAGATGAGGTCTGGCAGCACCTTCCTTAGAAATGGTCTGGGGCATGGTCTCGACTTCATGGCCAAAGGCCATCCTTGGTGTTTGCTTGCGTCGTTTCTCGAATTCAGCTGGCGAATCACTGGGGTCATGGGGGGAAGGGGGTGTTGGGGTTGGGGTGTGAGGTGTTGGTCTCTTGAGCCACTTTGGGCGTCGCAGTTTTGAGTTGAAGATGGGAGGGGGAGAGTTGTCACGGAAGCATGTCTTGAAAGGCGGCAGCGCATGATGTTTATGGGCCATGGGGCAACGGCTCGAGCAATCGAGCAAGAGCAGCCTGTGCTTCTGCCCATGCGGGGATTGCCTAAACTGAGGATGGGAGTTTCTATGACGGCGAGTGGCAGAGCGGCCGCAAGCATGGCCAGGGCGTCTACGTCAGCCCAGAGCAGCTCAAATACGAAGGACGCAATGTGCCTGAAATGTGGAGGTTCCCAGTTGGGCAACTTGGAGTCCGGGAAACAGATTGTACATTTGAAACTGCCCGTTTAAACAAATGCACGGCCCAGTGAAAGTGTTGCAACATTCCGGCTACAGCTCCAGAAACGTAATTCAGAACAATCGCAGATGCTAGCCGCTGCCATTTTGACTGCCCATTCAGGGTTGCATGCTAACCGGAGAGAAGAAAAGGATGAACAATCTTGAGGACAAAAGCAAAGTCATGCGTCTGGTTGCCAACCGTCGGAGCCACTCTGCATGTTCGGAGTCCCAGGAGCTTGGCACGACGGCAAGCGTCATGGCAGGGGCGTTCAGGCGCCTGGGGCGGTGAGGGGCTTGGCGACTACCTGACAACTGATCACGTTTCGGCGTTTAGCAGGTTTCAGATTGCGGTCCAAAGAGAGTGGACAACTGTTTGGCACTGTTCAGGTCAGTTTGGCTGTCCTCTGTGTGTGTTGAATTGATTGGGTGGCTGTGCCTGATCGGGCCAATGCTCCATGCCACTCTCCCACAAGGTTTCGGGTGTTTTTTTTCTTGGGGAGGGGGGGAACCCCCGATTGCTTTGAAGGGACACCAAAAAGAGGGGCCACTTTGGGCTCTCATCTTATTGATTGACGAGGCGTTCTGTGCATCATGGAGCTGGACTTTTCGACTTCCGCCTGTTTCAACTTGTGGTTGCATCCGGCGCTCTGTTCGACTCGCGCCCTTGCCGCCAGGACTATGCCAACGGCGACACCTACAACGGCTGGTGGTACAACGGTGCCCTGCACACAGAGACGCAGTGGTCGGAGGGGGTTGCCGTCAGCACCCCCCACGGGCCAGGTCAAAACCCCAGTGTTGGGCCAGTGTGTGCTCCTTTTTTCCTGCCATTGACCCAGTTGACGGGAGAGCCAAGAGGAGCCGGAGGAGGGGGGGGGGGGCTCCACATCCCAACATTCTGGTCTGCCATTTTGATTCACCTCTAGGCCAATGCAGCGGTCTGGGGATTTACTTCTTCGCGGACGGCGCCCAGTACCACGGTGCTTGGAACTTGGGGAAGTATGAGCCTTGGAAGGCAATCGTGTTTTTTTTGGGTGGGTGGGTGGGTTGCATGGAGTGCTTCACGGTCGCGCTGCCAGTTGCAGGACATTCTGTCGGTGATTTTGTTCCACGCGGCAAGGCTCCCAGCAAGGAGTGGGCAGGAGGAAGCCACGGAGCATCAACCGCGGCGCAACCAGACCTCTGACACTCCCTAGCTCAAAATCAGTCCCACCCTGCTCAACACCAGAGCGTGCCACACCTTGGCCTAAATCCACCAAACTAACCTCTGAGAGATTGCCACTTGTAAGAAGAGCATGCCAAGCCCACATCCACCTGCCTGAGGCACCCCAAAATTGATCCTGAGCCATCGCAAGCAATGAAACCTTTGAAGCACAGAAATTCGCGTGTCACCTAAGAGATGTGCCTGTGTTCAACGGTTCTGGACGTTTCGCCAAAGCGCTACTTTCAGCACACCTTCTGAATTGGGATTTGGAGTGTCCTTTGAGAGGCAGGTGGTAGCTAAGCAGCCAAGCACACACGTATGTAGATATCCCTTCGTTGAACGGAAGCCAGCTCGTGCAGTTCCATGCCAGCAATCCCTGCGCAACGGATTGGCCAATCCTGCCCACTTCGAGTCAGGACGGTGGCCGCGTTTGGCTGCCCATGTTGGGCAGCTTTTGCAAAAAGTTGGTTGGCTGAGTTGCATGCCAATGCACGCCAAAACGATCTCAGGACGTCTTTCTCTCACGATCAGCGTCAGGCAAAATGTTTCGAACGGCGCTTAGGATGGCGAGGGCATCCTGTACTGCGCCAACGGCGACCGCGAGCGTCTGACCTACTTCAACGGTGCCCTGGCTATGTGTCAGCATTGGGATTTGGTCCCCACATGGAGGTTCGGTTGGTTTAAAGAGCCAAGGTTAAAAGAGTACCATTAAAACAGCGCACGCCCAAATGGATTTCCACATTGACATGTAGTTCAATTCACCCTCCTTCATGAGTATGGCAGCGTGCTCTGCAGGGCAAGTTTGAATGATTTGTTTTCCTTCGGGCAGGATTCCCGGACTGGACCCCGTGACATGTTCCTCATGTGTTCTTGGTGCGCGCACTGTGCACGGCCATCCCCTCACCTGGCAGAGTTTGGGCATCCGGCCTCTTGGGAGGACATGGTTTGATTCATCTGACAGGCCAACGAAATCTGTTTGAAGCCTCCTCAAATGCCAAGAGTCATTTGATCTTCGAAGCTTCCTGAAACCATGCCCCAGCAGGCGAAGCGCAACCCTGCTCGCAGCCCCTCAAATGGCTGTGGGTCAAACCACCCGAGTCGCGCGCAGAGGTCGCCTCATGAAGCGGGAGGTGCTGCCTAGGGCGCCGCCGCCGGACATCAAGACCAAGTCCGGGCCGCCGCCGGGCGCTGGATTTGCTTTTTTTTGGGGGGGACGCACGGTAGGAGGTTGTTCGTTTTTGGTTTTTTCCTGGTTGGTTCGAACAGAAGGGAAGGGGAAAGGGAATGACTAGAAACTGTTTTTCCCGGAAGCATTGCGAAGGGTTCTTCTTCTAAAAGCGGCTGCCAACTTCACCTGCCAATTTCTCATGCCAACTTGTCGAGAGTTACTTCACCTGCCAACTTCTCATGCCAACTTGTCGAGAGTTACTTCACCTGCCAACTTCTCATGCCAACTTGTCGAGAGTTACTTCACCTGCCAACTTCTCATGCCAACTTGTCGAGAGTTACTTCACCTGCCTACTTCTCATGTCAACTTTTCGGCTGTTATCTCATTCTACTAAAAGCACAAGCTAATTTGTCGGACTTCTCATGTCAACTTTTCGGCTGTTATCTCATTCTACTAAAAGCACAAGCTAATTTGTCGGGTGTTACTTCACTATCCTAAAAACACAAGCTAACTTTTCTGTTCTACCTTCACTTCTCGACTCTTAATTCTTCTTCTTTTTCTGGCGGGGGTAGGCCCGACAGGAGCTTACGAAACGCACCCCTCTGCGGAGATCGTGCGTGTCGAAGCGCTCTCGCTGTGGCCCCGTGCGAATTTGTCTTGAGCCCGCGAACCCTCTGCGGAGATCGTGCGCTCGCTGTGGCGCTGTGGCGCCGTGCGAATGTCTTCTTGACCTTGGCGAACCCTCTGCGGAGATCGTGCGTGTCGAAGCGCTCTCGCTGTGGCGCCGTGCGAATTTGTCTTGACCTTGGCGAACCCTCTGCGGAGATCGTGCGTGTCGAAGCGCTCTCGCTGTGGCGCCGTGCGAATTTGTCTTGACCGGCGAACCCTCTGCGGAGATCGTGCGTGTCGAAGCGCTCTCGCTGTGGCGCCGTGCGATTTTCTTGCTCGCGAAACGGCTTTTGGAAGTTGTCTCGTGGTGTGCGCGCCTGCTTTCGCAATCCCGCGGTCCCGGGTTCGATTCCCCCCTGGTCCGCGGCAGCTCCGGCTTGAAAATCGCAGCTTTTAAGTACAAACGTAGTACGCGGAGCGTGCTCCTGCAGCTCCGGCTGGAAAATCGCAACTTTTAAGTACAGACGTAGTACGCGGAGGCTGCTGCAGCTCCGGCTGGAAAATCGCACTTTTTAAGTACAGACGTAGTACGCGGAGCGTGCTCCCGCAGCTCCGGCTGGAAAATCGCAACTTTTAGATACAAATGGCTGGAAAATCGCAACTGTAAATTGCAAATGTAGCACGCGGAGCGCCTCCGCCGCTCCAGCTTTTTGAGGGTTAATTACTTCACCTGCCAGTTTCTCATGCCGAAACTTCGAGAATTACTTCACCTGCCAGCTTCTCATGCCACCTTTTCGAGAGTTACTTCACCTGCCAACTTCTCGTGCCAACTTTTCGAGGAGTTACTTCACCTGCGAGCTTATCATGCCAACTTTTCGAGAGTTACTACACCTGCGAGCTTCTCATGCCAACTTTTCGAGAATTACTTTACCTGCCAACTTCTCATGCCAACTTTTCGAGAAATACTTTACCTGCCAACCTCTCGTGGCAACTTCACCTGCCAACTTTTCGAGAATTACTTCACCTGCCAACTTCTCATGCCAACTTTTCGAGAAATACTTTATCTGCCAACCTCTCGTGGCAACTTTTCGAAAAATTACTTCACCTGCCAGCTTCTCATGCCAACTTTTCGAGAGGTACTTCACCTGCCAACATCGCCTGCCAACTTTTCGAGAGTTACTTCGCCTGCCAACTTCTCGCGCCAACTTTTCGAGAATTACTTCGCCTGCCAACTTCTCATGCTAACTTTTCGAAAGTTACTTCACCTGCCGGCTTCTCACGCCAACTTTTCGAGAGTTACTTCACCGCCACTTCTCGTGCTCACCTGCCAACTTTCATTTTCGAGACTTACTTCACCTGCCAGCTTCTCACGCCAACTTTTCGAGAGTTACTTCACCTGCCAACTTCTCATGCCAACTCTTTGAGAGACCTGCCAACTTCTCATGCCAACTTTTCTCTTGAGTTACTTCGCCTGCCAACTTCTCATGTCAACTTTGCGAGAATTACTTCACCCGCCAACTTTGCCAGCCAACTATTCGAGAGTTACTTAACCTGCCAGCTTCTCATGCCAACTTTTTGAGAATTGCTTCGCCTGCCAACTCCTCATGCTAACTTGGCGAGAGTTACCTCACCTGCATCAACTTGCCTCTATGCTTCCGGGCCACTCGTCGTCTAGTTGTTTTTGCTGGCTGGTTTTCCAGATAGGCGGCGAATCGGAAATGGACAGAGAAGCCATCGCCGATGTGGTTGCCTCTCAGGGAATCCCGAAACGGTTTAGGATTGAAAGGCAGGGGATGAGGGAATGGAATGAATTTCAGACAAACCATTCCCGATATTGTTTCCTTTTGAGGAATCCCGAAACGGTTCAGTCCCAACACCCTGTCTCGGTCATTCCCTGAGCGCCAGCAAGTTTTCCATTGGATGTGTTTGGCTGCGGTCTAGTCTGGAAGCATTGGAAAGGAGCAGGGGAGAATCAGTGGCGAAAATTGTGTTCTGTCTTCTCCCAAGACCCAAATTTGGCAGAGTCAGAGTACTCTAACCTTGTTTGGGGACTTGTAGTACGTGTCAGGTGACATGGGGGCCCAATTGTGGTGGTTGTCCTTTTGGTTTTCCTTCCAACCTGGGAGAAAAGGGCACCCTCAAAAGAGACGGCGAGGGTGGCTTGAGCACTTACCAGACGCATCCTGGTCATTTTGAGCATGAGTTTGGCCAGGTGTTTTTGCAGACCCCTTCTTGAAAGACACTGATTTGACGTGTGTGTTCATCTTTGGAACCTTTCGCACGCCATGCATGGTATAATCAATGTGAACACTATTTGTCACACATCACGGATGATGGGCTATCCCCGCCAATCCCAAGGCCCTTTGACCAGGGCACAAACGATCTTGGCAACAGACTCGCAAGCCGGAAGTGAATCCTGAGTCCGTGGACGATCATTTGCCTGCAAGCAAGTTCATCATAACTTGTGCAGATGAATGCCTCCCTGTAAAAAGGGACAAAAACTAAATATCGAGTGCCAGACCCTCAGGACGAAATCGCAGAGAGGGAGAGAGAGAGAGGCGGAGAGATCGAGTGTATGATCTTTCCGGATTCTTCAACTTTTTCACCCAGGGGCATTTTCTGCGACGTTCTGCTGGTGCAAAACCGGGCGGAATGCCTGCAGCCCACGGTACGCCGGGAGACCCACGGCGGCTCGGTGCAGAGTCGACCAAGCTTGGAGGGGATTTGCTTGCAGAATTCACAGGGAAACTCAAACAGATTGTCCAGATTGAGAGTCGTGTTTCTCATGGGGCCTTCTTATGTGTTCGACTTTATTTTCCCAGAAGTGTGTTCACCAGATCTTTACTATTTTAAGCCGTCCTGTCGGATTCTTGTGTACATGAGGGAAGGGGCCACCCAAGAACCAATCGGGTGTCTATCAACCTGAGGTCGAGATTGCAACTTAGGCTAATGGGGGTCGGTTCAAAAATAAAAAGCCCTCCAAAATGTCAGGTTTCCATTGGTGGACGCTTTGGGCCTATTTTGGGGGTCTTCAGGCCATGGTGCCGACAAATTGCCTCCAACTGTCCAATGGCACCGAGGGGAGCATACAAAAGCACCAGTTTCATCAGAACCTACCACAGAAGATCTGCCAGGGTTTCCATCAAGAAGGCGGTTTCGAGCCTGCACCCATTTTTTGCAATACAGAAGGCGTACCCTTGGTGACTTCCAACTTGGGAGCCCCTCAGAAACCTTCCGAAACCAGGGAGCTCCCGGAAATCAGTCGATGGAATTGCTTTCTGCACTGGTTGGACATCGTTCACACGTTTGAGGTTACGCGTTTGCACGGGGGCGGGCGTTTAAACCGCTGAAGCACTTGACGAGAAAGGAGGGTTCCTTCCCTTTCTCCTGAATTCTTCCCTGGGGTTAGGAAAGGGGTGGCATTCGTGCCGATTCCCAAAAAGGCCCCTTCACCTGGTCGGTTTCCATGTCACGCCCCTTTGCAATTCGCAAGAGGGCAGAGGTCTTGACTACAAGGTTAACTAAGGAATGCCAACTCACTTGGCTCACTGGCCAGCCTTAAAGGAGGAAATGGCTTATAGCTTTGGCATTTGGCTGGCACGTTGGTGCGGCTTTTTGCTTACGCGTTGCAACCTTGCGGTGCCAATGCTTTTCATTGAAGCAGGCCGCAGAAAGCAACCGAGCAACTTTGGCCTATGCCTTCCCCATGCCACCTTCCACGGGGTGAATGGCTCATCGGGGAACACCTTGAAAAGGTAGCTGGACGGAATTTTGCCGATGCAAGTGATGCCCGAAGCGGTGAAGGGACATTTTCAAGTAGCACTCATGCCCAAACATCAGCTTTTGGGACTTGTGCGAAGGTTCGCCTGATTCTGAGGCTCCTGGATAGGTTTTTCGTTTTGGAAGTATCACTAACATGCGTTGAGCTTCGGGCACCCAGGTCACGCATGGGAAACGATCTCAATACGACGGACCAGGGTGGAGTCGAGCCACCACAATTTGCCTGTGAACCATGGGGCAGTTGGTCGTGCAAACCACATGTGAAGGACTTGTGGGTCTTAACTAGCATTCCCGGTTCTGCATTCTTCAAGTCCCCTCTCAAGAGGTGCTGCATCACCCCACCGAGATGAAGCACTGTCTTGATGATGTTTTTCGGCCACCCAAAGGCTGGGAAATGAGCCACAAGCAAAACCTAGCTGGATGATGTTTGGTAGGGGATGGTCCCAGCCAGAAATGGGTGCGGATATGCTCCCTTTTGAATGGGCTCCTTTGATTCCATGGCAGGGGAGACGCAGCTCCTCATCAAGAGGGAGTGCGACAACTATGACCTCTCCGCGCCCCCAATACGCTTGCCCAGGCGGCAAGAGTTCAAGGAGCGCCCCGGCCAAAGGCGGGAAAGATGGAGGCGAGCCTTTTCTTGCTTTTTCCTTTGGTGTGTGGGAGGGGGTTGGAGAGAGTGTTGCTTTGGGGAAGGGTTGGAATTTGAGTTTTTGGTTGACTTTTTGCTGACAAGGTTGGACGACTTGCACGGCGATTCCATCGAGACGGTCACGGGCGGGGACACGCTCAGTGTGGCCTGTCGGCACGCGGCTGGCTTCGGGGCTTGCCAGGCAACACTTTGAGCAAAGGCAGTGGGAGAAACCTGTACGCCGTCCGGTTTTGGGGAAGCAACCGGGACACAGCCGCCCGCAGGGTTGAGCACCCGGCATTGGACTGAGGCGTTTACAGCTGGCCCCTCGATGGATGAGCCTACCTTCGTCACAGAGCCTTGAGGTTTGGCTGGTTCTTCGGCCGGCATTGGTTTGACGGGTTGGTCGCCAGACGGGCATGGTTTTTCCGAAGGTGCCATTTTTGAATTTTGGTGTTGCTTGAAAGGAAAGCCAAGAGTGAGCAAACCGCTGAGAATCCCCTAAAGTGCGCCTGAGCTCTCAAAATTCAGGAACCGTACCCACAAGCAAACGTGTGTGAAGGAAGTGCACAACACCGTCTTTTTGCTAACCAGGTTTCCGACATTCCTCCTTGAAACGTAGCTGAGGCGAGTTCCTTTAGATGTGATACATGTCTTGCAGGACCTGAGCCGAAGCTCGCGTGTCTCACTCGTAAAACTCGGCCCCTGCCTGGCCGAAGAGGCTGGCGTGTCTTTTCCGCCCTCTGGTTTTTGATGGTTCTTTGGTGTTTGACGTTTGAGGAAAGGGGTTGACCAAACAAAGCTTCTTGTGGAAATCTGGGGTCGCTCCGAAGACGGGACATGATTTGGAAGACGGCGCCCAGTGCGCGCACATCTCCGGGCTCGGCAGGGACTCAACGGATGCCCACGCCCGCTCCGAAGGATACCGGCCGGGGGTTTTCCGATTTGGCCGAAGAGCGGCCGACTAGGTAGCTCCTTGCGGGGAAAAAGATGTCTGCGGGCCTTGCAGTAGGGAGGTTTGGTCTTGCACAAGTCATGGTTTCATTTGGTTCCAAGGCTTGTGGGGTCCTTGGCCTGCAATTCGGCTGATCTGCCGTGCTCTCCAGATCAGCCACTGGAAAGCGCCACGCTTTTCTTCAAAGCACATTGCCCCCCAAGCGCGCTCGGACTGCGGGTGCAAAGCAAATCGGTGCCCGACTTCCTCACCCCCAACAAGGGCAATGGGGGGGTTATCCCTGAATAGGCCTGGGATAAGCCAAGGATAAGCTAAGCCCTTACCACGGCGTTATGAAGGGGGGTAATTTGGGATTTTGTGCTTCTAGGTGCTCAAAGCTTGTTTTCAGCTTTGAAAGGCCCAAAGTGCTGAGAGGTCCCAACAAAAACCTAAAACACCTTGTCTCCAGCAGTCTTCAGCTGCCAAGCTGTCAAGGGTAGGGTTTTTTAGGGGCCTCTCAGCATTTTCCGGCCCGCCCTCATAGCCCCGCATAGCCCCTCTCAGGGGTCCATGAAAGTTGGGGGCTGGGACGCCTGCCAGGCGCTGCTCCGTGCGGCACAGGCGAAGGGCCAGGCGGGTTTGGCCGGTGGCCCGGGGCGGATGGCCAAAGGGCACCTCAAAACTCGGCTCCCAGCCATCCCCTTAGCTTTTTGCTAGCTTCTTTTTTTTGGGGGGGTCTTTTTCGTGTTCAGGGGGTGGGTTTCCGTTTAACCCACCAAGAGTAAACCACTTTTAGCGGGGGTCTGAACACGGGCAGAAGAGAGGCGAGCCTGGAGATCTCCTGCGGCGACCGCTGCTACTCTGTGACCTTCAGGTGGGTCGCGTCAGATGGGCCTGGGGTGCAGCACTTGGGATGGATGAATGGGTGTTTTTTTGGTCGCGTGGTACTTTCCGTTTTTTTTCTTCTTCATTTTGTTTCTTCTGTTTTTCTTTTCTCAGCTTGGGTGAAATGTTGGAAGGCAGTTGGTTTCCCAACAGCTGCAAGTGCCATACGGGATGTATAACATGATGCCTGGGATCTGGATTGGGATGAGGCGGAGGGCTTTGGTGGTGATTTCTGAACAGCGTCAACGCATTCAGGCATCCGGGTGGATGAGCAGGAGGGCATCAATGATTTTCAGGTGCTAGGCCGTAAAGGAAAACCCAAAGGTGGTTGTTCAAGCATTGGCGGCTTAAGAACCCGTGGTAGTGCCCGAAGTTTGTGTAGCGACCTATCTGTCAGTCAGTTGAGTCTGCAGCGCCACAAGGCGCCTGACCAACACCTTGGCACTTCCGGTCCTACCGTCTATTGGTGAAACCCGGTTTTTCCATTTTGCTCACCGGGTGCCTCAAGAGCCTGGGGAGGGCCATTCGCGCCAGGAAGGGCGAGGCCGAGCGTGTGAACCTGCAGACGCAGGCGCCCACTGGGCACCGACTGCGTGTGTGGACGGTCGCTCAAAACGGCGGCGCGCGCAGGAGTTCCAATGCACGGACGCCTTTCCAAGGAGCTGCGTGTTGTTCCGGCTCATGCTGACATGACAAGGTGCAAGCAGGTGGCGAGCATTTGATTGCATTTTGTTTGCGAGTGATCTACATCTGACACCGGGCGGTGTGTATCCGACTTCTTGACTTCACGTAGCCGGTGCAGGGCTTTCTTCAACCACACCCAAAGCTTTTTGCCCAAAACTCCCCAAACTCGCACAACAAGTCCCTCAAAAGGTCACCCAAAGCCACCCACCACCCACCAACAGACGAACAAAGACAACCAAAGACTCAGCAACAGTTCAGCCAAAGGACCCAACAACAGCCCACCAAAAACCTACGAACCACACTCTGAGCGGCTGTTCTTTTTCGCAGCCAGGTGCGCCGGCGGATGCGCGACCGCGCCGCCAAGGATGTGAGGCGTGCAATTGCCACATTCGGGCCAGGGCGGACAAATTCATGGGCCATTGTTTGGCATGTGGGTGTGTTTTTTTGAGGGTGCTCTCTTTGGGTTGTTTTCAATCGATTTCGGCCAACCTTGCTGGCCTGGTGAGGAGTTGCTTTGCCATCGTCTATTGTTTGAACGCCACCCCCCATGTTCACTTCAATTTGCGAGGTTCTGAATTGTTTCGGGAGCCCTGCCTGGAGCCAACATTGACAATGTCACCGGGGCTTTGTCCCAGTAGGTGCCTCTAGCCAGCCAATGAGGTACTTCGCCCCAAGGATGTTGGCTCAGTGCATGGGAATGCTTTCCATATGAAATGCCAGAGCGAGAGAGAGAGGTTCTGTGTAGCACGAAACGGCCTTTTGCGTCTGCTCTTGCGCCTGCCAGGTGCGAAAGTATCGCGGGGGCCCGTGCGGGCATGCCAGACAGAGCAGGGATGGGCCCGCTCGCCTTTCCTGAATCATGCTTTACCTGTTTTAGGCTTGGGTTTTGCGGGGCCCAGCCAAGTGCCTAAGGTCAACTCCCTCACCAGCATGGGCTTCTCTGAGGAGAAGGCTTGGGGGAAGCACCACTGCACCCTCCCTCTCTCTCTCTTTGTCTCACTCTCTCTTTCTCTCTGTCAAAAGTAGCGGACTTGCCAAAAGGGTTGGAATCCTTTTGGCTTCTCTTGGAAACCAACCATAGACGCACCCTTTTTTGGTCTTGTTGGCGTGTCCTTTGGGTTTCAACTTTTGGAAGTCGATCGTGCCTAAACATTTTGCAAAAAGTTTCATCATGGATTGCTGCAAACTTCCCGTCAATGAACTGTTGGCAGCCTTGCCAACATCATACCCTTTTCACAGCCATCGCCTACGATGTTTCTCCTCCTGGATGCGAGGTGCGGGAGGTCCTGGAAAAGAGCAGCGTGCAATGCCCAGTGCGGCTGACTGCCTCAGGATCCAAAGCGTCAGGGGCGGCAACGAGAAGTAAGCTTGGGACATTCATTGAAGAAGCAAACAAACATCCGCCCAAGCCACTTTGAAATACATTTTTCCCTTTTAAAAATGGGGAGCTTGTGCACTTCCTTTGTTGGGAGGATTTGGGCTTGCATCATGCCACGTCCAGTGCTGCGCCCGGTGCTTGTAAACATTTGATTTGGGTCGTAAAGATTTTCCCGTTGGTGGTTTTGCTTCCTTGGGCGGCTACGGGACCTTGGCTTGGCATCATTGAGCAAGCCCGCAGTATTGCGTGCTTGCAGCTGGCTCGCAAGGGGAATTCATCGAAAGGCAAGAAGGGAGATGCCAACCATTCTTAGGTGGTAAGTCAGGAGATTGCTCCCAACTCCGGTGGGAAACACTAGATCAAAACCCCCATGACCAGTTCGACGCACATACGCAAGATGCCTCAGCAATGGCAATGGCAAGCTGGCAATATGACAAGTAGCGTGAATGCTTTTGTTGTTCAGCCGTTTCTGGAACGTCCTAGACCCAGGAATCCAACAATCTACGCAAGTTTGGTCATGCCACTCCCTCGCTAGCCCATTTGCTTGAAACTGAAAAGGTGTTGGTTGTTTTTCTTCAAAGACCTGGGCCTGGGCCTTGCATTTTCTTCCCCTCGAATCGTTTTTTCAGAAACGAGATCCCCGCGGTTGCGCGTGGCGCGGGGCGCCATCCCCGCAGCCCCACGCGCCCGGGCGCGGGCGCGGGCGCGAGCGCGCGATGGCGAACTGCGAGGAGGTGAGCTGGGGGGATGCCCAGGGGCTGGTGGAGGCCATGCCCTCGTGCAAGGCGCGGCTTTTTTTTCTTCCTCCCCAGATAGCTGAAAACTATAGGGGTTCTAACTTCTAATTAAGAAGAGACAGTTATTTGCAAGATTGAGGGCCGGGTGCTAGAGCCGGTTTTCTTTATTCTTGTGGCGGTGGGACAAGAGCGTGCCATCTGGGAAATAGGGCGCACGCTGGCCATTCGGGTGGTTTGTTCTGCTGGTGTGGTCTGCGTGTCGTGTTTCGGTGCGCCGGAAGGACAGCGTTTGGTGTTTCGGTGGTCCGGTGGAATGTGTCTTGGTGGTGTTGAAGTGCTGTTGCAAAAAGTGGCGCTGAGACTTTGAGGGCATGGTCTGTTGCTATGGTCTGTCGCTGGTTAATTTGGATCGCGGGAAGGCCGGATAGACGGAACTGGGGTCTCCGCACTCCCTAGCCCTTAAGGGGAAGGGATTGTTGTTGGTGTTTTTGATTCTTCGGCTGAACCCCCACAGGACCACCGAAGCCTTGCTTGACATGTGTGGCCAGAAGTTGTTTAAGCTTCCTCCAAGGGAGATATTCAACATGGACTTCTTTCTCCCCGCTCGACACAGGTAATCAGCTAGTAACCCTGGCTAGCTTACATCTTGGGTAAAACTGACCGTTCACTTCTTCAAATTCTCCAAGCACAAAGGATCCCTGGAAAGAGTGGTTGAGAAGCACTGTTAAGCAGCTAGATCGTTGTTTCTTCCTAGCGAAGGTTGACCTGAAGGTAGGCAACGCCCTGACTACTGTCCCTGAAACCCGCATAGCTCTTCGGAGTTTTCTTGGAACATGTTGTGAGTGTGAGTCTTTTTTCTCTTTTTTTTTTTTGGGGGGGGTGGGGGGGTTTGCATGTTAACCTTGCTGGGGAGCCGGGGCGACCCCCAAAACGCCCAAAACGCCCCCGCCCCCCCCGGCTCAACCCCAGGACGAGAAGCTCTCGTACCGGCGCCTGCGGCTGCTGGGCCAAGGCTCCTTCGGCAAGGCCTTCCTGGCGCGGGACCTGCAGAACGGGGAGCTGGTGGTCATGAAGCAGGCGGCGAGTCGAGCGAGTCGAGCCTTCCTGGGCTGGCTGGGGTTCGGTTTGGGGGATGTTGGGGGGGGGGGGCTGGATGTGCGAAGTGACGCCCGGGGTCCATTTTAAAACTGTTTGCAAGGAGAGGGTGTGTGTGGTTTTTGAGGGGAAGCCAGGGGGGAAAGGTATGCGGCATTGGGTCGGAGCCTCCGGTCGCGCTTGACTGACGAAGTGCCAGCCTCAGGTGCACGTGGAGAAGATGGATGTCAAGGCTCTGGGGCTCGCCAGACTCAACCGACGGTTTTTGCCCAGGATTGATCTGCTGAATGGGGGATGCCCCGATGCCCCATTTAACAGTGAATCCGTCGCTGGAAAAGTCCCAGGCGCTGATCGCCACATCTTGCCTGTGCTGGTAAATGTGCACCTGCTTGGTGTCCTACACCCCCGAAAGCCCCGCCAAGGTCCAGACAAACCTTCACTCACATGGTCTTTCCAGGTGTTTGTGCCACTTGGTTCCACTTGTTTTGTACCTCATCACATCATGTTCTTTGCGCTTGAGGCGGTGGCACTTTCTGAGTTTTTTTTGTTCCCGTTGTGTTGTACCTTTTTCCGCATGGTTCCAAGGGAAACCAAAAGGAAAGCACCATTTTGATTGATGCCTCATACCCGGTTGGATGCTCTTGAGGCAAAGCTTCACCCAAGTGGTTGTCCCCAAAGAGGACACGCAAAAGTACTGGAGAATAATGGGCGAGGGGACGCGGGCAAATCGGCTCCTGGTGTTGGTTGGAACGTCTTCCAGAACATGTTCCAATGGGAAACTACCCTTGGAGCAGTTTCCATTAAGGAAACCGCCCTTGGGACAAAAGAAGAGCTCCGCCCGCGGACTCCCCCCCCCCCCTCTCCCATTTGGGTGTGGCTCAAAATTAACCTTACGCAGGTTTTGGTCCATGTTTCCACTTACCCAGGTTCCATTTTGGAATTCCGGTTTTTTGAGCCGCAGCCATTTGTTTTTCCACAAAGCTCCCGGCGCTTGAGCTGCGCTTCGCTCAGCGCAGCGCGCGAGGCGCGGAACACCGCGGTGCGGGAGGCGGTGGCGCTGCGGAGGGTGCAGCACCCCAACGTGGTGCGCTTCCGGGAGGCGACGGGTTCGCGTACGCGTTGGTTGGGGCGGGGGGGGGGGGCGGAAATCCAACCAGCAAACTTGGGGGGGAACCCCGGTGTTGTTGGGAGGTGGTATTCAATTCCGGGGTAAATCTCATTTCTAGGTAACCGAATAACACTTTCCTCTTTTTTTTTAAGGAGACAAGTTGGGAGGAGGAGTCCCTCTTTTTGAAGCCGTGGGTTGTGGTTTAGTTTAGTTTAGCTCAGCTTAGTTGAGTTCGTCTTGCGTTGCAGGCGCAAAGGTTGGTTTGCCCGTCAGGCTTGACTTTGCTATCCATCGGGGCCTTGGCCCCGTGCTTCTGACATCGGAGCCTTCAGGCACAAGGGTATCAGCTCGAACTGAAACAAACCCAGGCTCTCCAAAAGCAAAAACATGGAACCCATCATAGAGTTTATTTTTTCTGGTTTTTTTCAGGTTCCAATGGTAGTGAATTTGCCGTGTGTGCCGATGTCCGGGGAACCTACAGGGTTTTGAGCACACCAAGGGCTGCCCTAGGACATTTGCTGTTGGCTTTATGCTCCGCCCTCGATCCGGTGGGTGTGTTCTCTCGGGAGGTCTTTGTCCGTTCTGGCTGGCTGTGTCTCGTCATGGACTTTGCTGATGGGGGCGACCTCTGCGCCGCTATCAAGGCGAGGCGGGTTAGCTGCGGGAGCAGTCCGCTTTATCCAAAGGTGGGATCTAGAGCCTTTTCCACGCGTGATTCACGGCTTGACTGTCCAGGGATGAGCCTGTGATCAATGGCATGCTGTTCATTTCTGTAGGGCATGCTGATTGCGCCAATCTCTTTCGGAAAGCGTGTCCGCGAGCATGGTGAGGGTGTGTGTTGCAAGGCTGTTTGCGAAGCTTCCACTGATGTTTTCTTTCCTTGTGCCAAGGTCGAGGGAAGCAAGGAAGGCTTACAGTATGTAGACGTATGCTTGTGTTGCAGACTCTTGCTTGTGCTGGTTCAATACTTGAACTGAATCGACCAATCCACGTTTCCGCCTTGCTTGACGCGCGGCTCGCGCATCAGCGGCGCCCCTGGGCACGATGTTTGGCAAATCATAGAAAGCTCACCTCGTAAAACGCGCTCCATGAAGGTCCCGGACCTCGGTCCTTGCTTCGGTTGACCCCATATGAACCAGCCCAGTTCATTAATATGGGGTACCCTGGGTTTAGTGGGGATTCATCACTTTTGGAGGGGAACACCCCCCCAATAATAAACCGGGGTTGATCAATATGGGGTTAATCTTGGCGAGTTACAAGCGTCAGTGCGGACGCATGGCCCCACTGCACTCGAGGAGCGTGCCAAGAGCGGGGATCTGTTCGAGGAGCCGGCGATCCTGGAGTGCTTCTCGCAGGTCTGCGATGCCGTGAGCTTTGTACACAGCTACTGCGCTATGGGTGGGTGGGTGGGTGGGGTGGGGTGGGGTGGGGTGGGGTGGGGTGGGGTGGGGTGGGGTGGGGTGGGGTGGGGTGGGGTGGGGTGGGTGGGGTGGGTGGGGTGGGGTGGGGTGGGGTGGGGTGGGGTGGGTGGGTGGTGGGGTGGGTGGGGTGGGTGGGTGGTGGGGTGGTGGGGGTGGGTGGTGGGTGCGTGGTGGGGTGTGTGGGTGTGTGGGTGTGTGGGGTGTGTGTGGGGTGGTGGGTGGGTGGGGTGGGGGGGGTGGGGTGTGGGGTGGGGTTGGGTTGGGTTGGGGTGGGGGTGGGGTGGGGTGGGGTGGTGTGGTGTGGGTGGGGTTGGGTTGGGTTGGGGTGGGGGGGGTTGGGGTGGGGTGGTGTGGGGTGGGTGGTGGGTGGGGTGGGTGTGGGTGGGGTGTGGGGGTGTGTGTGGGGTGTGTGTGGGTGTGGGGTGTTGTGGGGTGTTGTGGGGTGTGTGGTGTGGTGTGGTGTGGTGTGGTGTGGTGTGGGGTGGTGTGGGGTGGGGTGGGGTGGGGTGGGGTGGGGTGGGGTGGGGTGGGGTGGGGTGGGGTGGGGTGGGGTGGGGTGGGGTGGGGTGGGGTGGGGTGGGGTGGGGTGGGGTGGGGTGGGGTGGGGTGGGGTGGGGTGGGGTGGGGTGGGGTGGGGTGGGGTGGGGTGGGGGTGGGGTGGGGTGGGGTGGGGTGGGGTGGGGTGGGGTGGGGTGGGGTGGGGTGGGGTGGGGTGGGGTGGGGTGGGGTGGGGTGGGGTGGGGTGGGGTGGGGTGGGGTGGGGTGGGGTGGGTGGGTGGAGATGTGTGTGTGTGTGTGCGCATGAGGATAACTGGTTTCCTTGGAGCAGTGGTTCACAAAAGTTTGAGGAGGCAGGCCTCAGCTCTTTCCCTACCTTGCTTGAGTTTGTTCCTCATGGAAGGTGCGCCGTTTGGACTTGCAGCGCAAGTGTGGTTGTTGTGCAGCTGGTCTTTTTGTTTGAATTGTTTTGTGGATATGGTGACTCGATGGTGATTTGATGACTAAGGCTTGAAGATGGTGCACCGGGACATCAAGTCTCGGAACATCTTCCTTTGTAGGCCTGGAGAGTGGACAGGCCCTCTTTACCCAAAGTGTTTGACCCTGGGTGTGCTCTTTTGCGATTCTGTTTTTGGTATGTTTGGAGAACCTCTGTCCCAAATCCTGTGCCTGACATGGAGCGGGCTGTGCCAGGGAGGGGGGAGGACGGGAATATCAAACAGTTGCAAAAAGCCGTGGGGACGCCAAACGCTTGGTTTCTGGGGGACCTGCCTTTTTCACCCCAACCGGTTTTCGGACTTCCTTTTTCCCTTTGGGTTCTGGGCCCGAAGCGCCGGCTCCCACGGGCGGGTTTGGAGGACGGGCCGGGCGCTGCTGGGGGACTTTGGACTGGTGCGGCTGCTGGAGTCTACCTTGGAGCTGGCACAGACGCGGGTGGGCACGCCCTACTACCTCAGCCCGGAGCGCCTCGTCGGTGATATGCAAGGGGTGTGGGGTGTGGTGAGGGCTGCGAGTGCCTGCTTGAAGATAAACTTTTCATCCCATGCCAAAGTCTTGCGGCATGATGGGTCTCACAACTTTATGTAGATGCCGCATTCGGTGATTCAAATCTTCATCCTTCGAAGCTTTTAACTGTAGCGATCTCCGTGCACAAAAGTTGTGGCAGCACTTGAAGCAGTTTTCACATGATCGTTGGCGTCAGCATCCACAAGACCGGCACTTGCACGCCAATGTTTCATAAGCCAAGGCGGACCGACCAACATCTCAGGCCCAACTCGCTCCCTCAGCAACGCAAACCCAGAACCCTCGCAAGCAATGCATTTGCCGCCAAGGATCATCCGGCGACAACCCTACAACCACAAGACGGACGTTTGGAGCCTGGGCGTGCTCTTGTACGAGATGGCGGCTCTGAGGCGGCCCTTTGTAGGCACGCTGGAGACGTTGCCCAACCTTATCGTCAAGGGCGCGTCCTGGCAGGAAGCAAGGGAAGCAAACCATGCGGCAGGTCAGGCAGGTTTACTTGGTGAGCAGCGGGTCTCTTAAAAAGAGTCCTCAAGATCCCTCTGCCATTTGCTAGTTCAGCTTCAACTGGCTGAAGCTGCAGACCTTGAGAGAGGTCCTCATGTAGTTTGGCCCAGCTTTGGGGAAGCCCTGGCTACGTCTCCTCCGCAACACCCCCCGGCCCCGTTTCCGGCCGGCGCTAAGGAGTACGAGCCTCTGCCGGGGAAATCCCGGGCGCTGCCGGTGCTGTTGGGGCGAATGCTAGTGGTGGACCCCACGCAGCGCCTGGACCTCTGTAGCGCTTTGAGGCGAGCGAAGTTGGACGTGTGTTTTGTTTTTGGCTTGTAGAGTCCTCTGCCCTTTTTACACCCAACTAACACCCAACCAAGGCTTTCTTGGGGGAGTAGTAGGTCCCTAACAGCCTTGAAACCTCTCTGGACTGTCGCTGTTGGCGGGAAGCCTGAAGGTCCCAAACAAGGTTGGGGTTCATTTTTCCATTCCTTTGTTTGGGAGAAACAATCACCATGGACTTTCCAAAGATTCGACATGTCCCCTTTGTCGCCGTCTGAAAGCGCCTTGCAGCAGTGGCACATCTCGGGTCATTACCATTTGTTTTTGTTTTTCGGCAGGTGTGATGCGCTCAGTGGAGTTAGTCCATGGGACACCATCAGAACAGGCATTTTCCGATTTCTTTAAGCCCGCGCTTTCCTTGGACGACCCGTTTTGCCTAGATGCTTCTTGCCCCCGCCTCCCCCCCCCCCCCAGATGCTTTTGTGTGATTTTTTGACTCGCCTAGATGCTTTTTGCCTTGGCCTCGCCAGGGAGGAGCCCTTGGCGGAGCCCTTGCGGAGGTCCCAGGAGGCACTGGGCCTGGTGCCCTTGCGCAAGGAGCAAGGGGCCATGGTGGGCGCTGGGGCTGGCGGATGCAAAGGGAACCTGCTGGACAGTCATAGGGAGGCCAAGCCAAGGGCCCATTTCGGCATCACAGAGAACAGAGAGGTCAGAACTGACTACGCTCAAGCTACCGCCAAGCCATCATGGAGAAAGTGCCATGTTGGTTAGGCGCTTTTTTTTCTTTTATTTTTTTCTTCTTTTCCGCCAGTGGCTGCAGTGCCCAGTGCCCGAAGCAGGAGATCCAGGAAGATATTCAAGAGAAGTCGGACTGGATTGGGTACAACACCATGATCCGCTTCAAGGCTTGGACTTTTTGGTTTTTGGGCTTTTCCCTTTCTTATCGCGGGGGTGCCGAGTGGTCCTTTTTCTGCTTCTGCGGGCTTCGAGCCATGCGCGCAAACGCCCAAAACAGGCGCTCGGTGCCAGCCAAGCCATGGGCTCCAGGCATTCCGGTAGCCGACAGCTCACACGTGGGTGCCGTGGTTCACCAAGCATGTGCGACATCCGCATGGGTCGTAGCACTGCTGAATGTTTGGGCGGGGGGTGCGTGCGTCTTTTTGGCAATAAAGGCAGGGCTTCAAATTGGGGTGAAAGCAAGTAGTAAGCATTGAAGGCAAGGCGACTCAAAACGCCCACTGGCCAGCAGTCGCCTTGGAGGAAGCTGCAGGTTCTGGCTGCGAATGCTAGTAGACCAAGGACGGCGTGCCATTGTTTTATTCATGTTCCGTTCTTCTCTTTCTTGTTGTCAAGCGGGTTTTCAATGGCCAGTGCTCTCGGCCCAAGATCTGGGAGCTCTTTCGACATCCTTTGTTCCTTCTAATCTGGGCCCCAGATGAATACACCTTGCGGATGAAGAGGGGGGATGTTTCACTCCCAAGAGTGAAGGATTGCCTCTCGAACCAGGGGTTGATGAATTCTGGCTTCCCATTGAGGTTCGCAAAGCGTGCATCTGCTGAAGCACATGCCCACAATTCCTGTTCAACTCGCAGCAGCACCCTTTGGGTGTCTTTTGGCGTTGCTCCACTCAGTGCCTACCAAACCCAAGAGACTTGCAGCCACTGTATACCCACATGGAACCTGACAGGGGCTCCCTTTAAAAGGAAAACGGTCCAACCCAGGACCCAACGAACGTCAAACCGGTTCCATGTAAAAAGGGTGGGAGGGCAAGCGGTCTTTGCCAGACACGTTCCCTCCAAAATCGATGCTTTGCGGCCGGAGGCCCAGCAAAGCGCGGGAGACGCGGTGGACCCTAACTGGAGCACCGCCGCCCAGGACTCCGACGATGGCGGCGGCTCCGAGCAACTCGCGGCGAAAAGTGAGAGACATCTGTTGGATCATCCTACTTTTGGTCATGTTGACCGCGGATTGAAACTACACCCCCATTTTTTTGCAAACATAGGGGGTGGGGGGCCCCTCCAAATGTGGTCTGAATCCCCACTAGGGAAGTCCCAGAGTGGGGTGACATGCCACTCTTCCAGCTCGAATGGATGTTTTGGATAGGTCCGTGGGTTTCTTGGTGGCCTTTCCGGTGTCCAGTCCGGGTGAAATTCGATGGCTCCCACTTTCGCCCTCAGAAGGCCGAATCGAATGGACTCAATCCGCCGGCTTGCGGGAGTGAGCTTGGGATTCTTCAGCGGCCATTCGCCGCAAGTGACGAGTTGCCTTTGGTGCTGTTGGCCAGGTGTTTCGGCCGCTTTTCTGGTTGGCCGTTTGTGAGGAATGCACCTTGCCCCGTTTGCTTTGGGAAGTTGTGGCGAGACTTACAGAAGCGGAGTTGGGACTGTTGGAATCCTATGGCAATTCGAATCGCAGGGTGAACGTATATCATGTATTTTGATTCTTTAGGCAATGGGTCCCCAACGACGGAGTTCCCCATCGTTTGATTCAGGGCTTGGCTCCAAGTTGTTGCTTCACTTGACCGCATTTTTCCTTGGGCGCCTTTTGGGGCACACCATTCGCCCGCTTTTGCCCCCAGGGGCTGCTCCATCCTTCCCAGCCACCTCCCCACCAACCCAGAAGCGGAGGTCGGACGACAGCTGGGGCTCCGTGGTTGACACTGGCATGGACGCCCTGCAGAAGCTGGCGGCTTGAGGAAGCCGCGCGCGCGGAGCGAGCGGGCCGAGGGGTCGAGCGAAGTGGGCGCGCCGGTTCGTTCTTTTCTATCAGAAAGCGGAGGGTTGCCAGAACATGGCTCCGTTGAAGATGCAGTCTGCAGTTTGCACCCTACCCTCTGGAAATGACAACTAAGAGTTGGCAGTTAGGCTCTATCCCAATGTGTCGAAAAGAGGTAAGATGAGGCAGGACGTGAATATTCTGGCTCTGACCCCCGTGCCATTTCATTGAGACCTTGACAGAAATGGCTCGCCCCACTGAGGTTAATGTTTCTGGGCCCGGCAGCCACTCGTCGTTTGGTGGATGCCGGCCCCATGGGTTTGCCCAGCATGTCTTGCACTGCGCCTGTACTCATCAGCCTTGGACGTTTGTGGCCTTCGGGCAAAAACTAGGTCCCACGGTACTGCCCTTTTACCCTTTTTTGGGGGGAGGGCTCCCCTACTAAAATAGACTACAGAGAAAAAAAGGTACCCTTATTCTAACCTCTCTACTGGAGGACCTAGAAAATGCCAGGCATAGGGCGGGAAGTGCAGGTGCCATGCGCGCCCTCATGCCCCAGCTGTTGGGGCCAGATGGTGCAGCATTTGTTAGGAGAGCCAGGGCGGCAGAGCGCCCGGAGCAATGCATGGCCTTTTATTGCGTGGCTGTGTCAAAACTAGGGTGCCCCTAGGAAAGCCAACATGAAGCTTGTTTTGCTGGAGGTCCCCACTTTCGACACACACACACACACAGCTACACAAAATTGCCAACCTGGCCAAATTGGCCAAACGGCCAAGTGGCCAAATGTGCCAACTAGGCTTCGGCAGGCGAGTGCCCCCACACCGACCGGGGCGCGAACCGCCATGCTGGAGAAAAAGAGCGGATCTAACAGGGTACCCATGGTACCCCTGTCCTATACCCTTATATAGTATACTCTTTACATATCCCGTAAGATGAGTATCCTCACTTGAAAGATTTATGGTTGGGGCCTATGCCCAGGAGGGGTCCATTCGCTTTGAAGGCAGGTGCGAGCAGCGTTTGATTGAGAACTGTGCAGGCAGGGCCAGGATTGGCCCGGGCACGCCAAAAAGGGAGTCAAATTGGAAGTAAACATGGATCCCCAAAAAGGACATTGGCCTGCAAGAGAGGCATTGTATCGAGACCCTAGCTGCTTGGTTGCCGAGGACCTCTCCAAGGCGCTGGATGAGCTGATGTCCAAGCCTTCACGCTCCTTGGCCCAAAAATGATACCTGGTGGGGGAGGGGGGGCAGACGGAGGGGGAGGCAGGGCAGGCAGGGCAGGGGACCCGGAAAAGGGGGGGGAGTGGCAGCGCGTGCGCATTTCGCAGCGAGTCGCTGCGCCATGTTTGGCGCAAGAGGCTCCGTGCCTATGGCTTCATGCGTGTGGGTGCCTTTGACTTCTTGAGCAACAGGAAAAGGAGGAAGTTGTTCGGGCATGCAGCGCAAGGAATGAAGGCAGGGTCACATCTATCTTGACCACCGGGGTTCTTGCTCGGTGATGACATGTTGAGAGGGGGAGATCTCCCCTTCCTCAGTTTGGCTGCACGAGTAAGCTGGTTGGACCAGCAAAGTGGTCAGTCAGTTGCAGAGATTTTTGCAGCAATAGGTGACATGTTGAGGGGCCAGCCCTGATGGTCCTACGCTGCCATTTGCCCCTTTGCGTGCAATGCCGAGTGCAGGGGCTTAAACAATTGCAACGGGCTTGCAGGATAGCTCAAAGCTAAGTTCAAGCATGATCGTAAGAGAATAAGCTGCGCCATTGTCTGGCGGCATTTTGTTGCCACTATCCGCCTCCCAATGCCAGCTGAGGTTGCGCTGGTGGGGCGACTGCCAGCAGCAGGAGGCACGAGACCACGCGCAACGCAGAAGCGGCCAACCCTGCGGCCACGAGTCCTCAACTTGGAACCTCGCCCACTTTGTGTCTGTTGCCTCTCGCCGCAGTGCGGGGAGTCAATCTGAGGCGATGGGCCGAGTGGGGCTGAACATACTTTGAGGAGAAAAAGTAGCTGCTTCATTCCGGGTGGTTTGGAGGGGCGGGTCACAGTTGGGTTTGGGTCAGGGGCAGGTGGGCTTTGAGGTCTTTCCCCGCGGCTCCTGGCCAGGCCAAATGAGGCAGCAGGGGACTTGCCCGGCAGGCGAGGTGGCGAGTGGGTGTGCCTTGTTCGGGCAGGCGGCTTTATGCCAGTTTCAAGAGGCAGCTGCCCAGAGCTGGGCGTCCTGGTTTCCATAGTCACCTCATTCAACGTTCAGTTCAGCCTCCCATGACGAGCGCCTCCGTCAACACCTGACCCGAGTCCATGGTCATGGTGCAGGCTGCAAGACCCAACCGTGGCTGCATTTTTGCGCTCTTGGCGGGCCTGATGACCATACTCTCATATTGATTGCTTGGTGGCGGTTCACGTGAAGGTAAGACGTAATGGCAGACAAACATAGGAACAGCCTCAGTAGCAGCCACCGTGTCGTTTGGCGGTGTTTGGAAAGGACATGGGGGGCCCACCCAAATTTCCCGCGAACCAGGGGGCGCACTCACATTTTCAATGTTCGATTATGTCAGCTGCCACAGGAAGAGAACTGCAGCTTCGTCAGTCGCGGCCGCAATAGATGTTCCGCTTCGCCTGCTTCCAAGGCCCTGCTTTGTGATATGAAACTTGTGTGGCTAAACAAGTCGTGCCAAAGCGCACGTCCTCCGCTTGCAGGACTCTTAGACTTTAGATTGTTGAAGTGCCGTGCCTTCAGTTGATAGCTCGCCCTCCTATTTTTGTCTTTTTGCCAAGAAG